GGACCTGGGGATCAAGCCAGCAACTGAGGTACATGCCCTTGACTGGAATCTAACCTGGGACCCTTCAGTCCACGGGCTAATGCTCTATCCACTGAGAAAAACAGGTTGCAGCTTCATTCATTTACTTTTAATCTATATGTGTCTTTATACTTAAAGTGGGCTTTGTTTTTGATTCACCCTCATAATCTGTCTTTTAATTGGTACATTTATGCCACTGACTTTCAGAGTGCTTACTGATAGAGTTACTGCCATATCTGGCAGCTCCTGGGGCTTGCAGGGCCGGCATGCCTGCGGCCAGGGACCAGATTCGGTCCCGGGCAGCAGGCAGGCGGCTTCTGATGTTGCCCACGGGGGCCTGGATGGCGGCTGGTGCTGGCGGCTTGCGCTGTCCTGCCCTGCCTGCAGTATGCAAATTAGCCACCATCTTTGTTGGCAGTTAATTTGCATATCTTACTGATTAGCCAATGGGAGGTGTAGCGAAGGTACGGTCAATTACTATGTTTGGCTATTATTAGGATTCCAATGTTATAGTCTGCACTGTAATAATCTGTCCACTTACAGTTTTCTTGAATCCATAGCCTTTATTTGCTCTTATCAATTGTCACTGAGATTGGAAAATGAAGTCTTGCTTCTGAATCTCAGCTCTGTAGCTGGCACCCTTCAGGTCATGAAATATGTCTATGTTGCTTCCATAACATAGATGTATCTCTAACATCTAGTATAGTATCTGAATGACAGCAGATATTCACCACCCTCCAAATTTTCTGAATGAATGAATGAGTCTAGGAGTGAATAGATTTACTAATGTCAAACATCTGCCCAAATTTCAGAAGTTTGCCAACTTGCCAACATGGTGCTCTGGCTGCTGAGATAGGAATTATTATTTTTTAAATATCACAAAGCAGTGAAATTATAGGATACAGGCCAGTATGACCCCTTATTAACAATCCCCACTGACTTAGCTGATTTAGGGATATCACCTCCAGCTGGACCAATCCCTCTCTTGGTGCTAAAGTCTCAAGATCCTGTCTCCTATTCAGCGGTTCTCAACCTGTGGGTCGCGACCCTTTTCACAGGGGTCCATCCTGCATATCAGATATTTACATTACGATTCATAACAGTAGCAACATTACAGTTATGAAGTAGCAACGAAAATAATTTTATGGTTGGGTCACAACATGAGGAATTGTAACCACTGTTAGATTAACTTGTTTGATTAGGTCTCCAGCTGTTTGTTCCATAGATTATTCTGTATTATTTATACTTAATATTTTTATATTTAAACACAGGAACAAAACCTTACCTCTGAAACCAAAAGTCCAAAGTTAATTCCAATTAATGATAAAGCATTAGCTTGATACCATGTGTTGATTTTATTTTCACAACCCTAAGGGGAAAAAAAGTCACTTAAGTTAACTTGGAGATTGAGATAGTTTTATACATAATTCCATTACCAATAAGAAGAGACACAGACATTAGACATTTAATAAAGTCTGAAAAACAAATCAGTGTCTAACTGGAGACAATGTTTTAATCCAGGGAGCTTCATGTGATGACAGGACACCTTGCTTGCTACTTTTAAAGTTACTAAGACGTTGTCATGCAATTGAAATCAGAAATTTATTGTTTTAGAGGGATTTAACTGCAGACAATTTTAACTTAATAGGGTATATAACTAGCACCTAAAATGATTAGTACCCAAATAGCAGAAGCTTCAAAAAAAAATCCTCTACACATTTGTAATACCCTAACTAATAATAATAAAAGAAAAAAAAATCCTCTAGCCCAGCCGGGTGTGGCTCAGTGGTTGAGCATCAGCCCTGGAGTCAAAAGGTCACCTGTTCGATTCCCGGTGTGGGCATATGCCCAGGTTGTGGGCTCTATCCCCAGTGTGGGGCTCGCAGGAGGCAGCCAATCAATTATTCTCTCTCATCATTGATGTTTCTATCACTCTCTCCCTCTCTCTTCATCTCTGAAATCCATAAAAATATATTTAATTTTTTTAAAATCCTCTATTTATTTATGAATAAATTATATAATTAAAAGATACATCTTAAAATTAGAATGGCATTAGTAAATAAACTATACAAAGTATTAGAAGTTCTTGGGGTGGAAATCTCTAGACCATCAGTATTCCATACCTGCAAATAGTCATTGTTCCGGGTGAACCTGTACTCTCAATTCTGCCAAATGTACCTGAATACCACTTTTGTCATTGCTGGGATCCCCTCCCTTCAGTTTCTGCCGATCTCCATACTCTTTAGTACGGGTATGGCAGCTCTCCGACCAATAGTGAGAGTTGCCAATAGCGCCCCCTTCCTCTGCAAGGATTTGGGAAGGAAGGTTGAGAAGAAAGGTTGATGGCATCCCAAGTTCTAGTAGCACTTAGATCACATACGATACTCCCAGAAAGTTTACTTATTTATTATATACCTGAGATAGTACTGCAATCACCTAAATATGAGTTCAATTTAGGTAAGTCACTGAAGAACCTAACCACCAGAAATAACATTGTCTTTATATAAAAATTGGCTCAGAATTATAAATTGACTTGCAAAATAAAATTTTTAAAAAGTCACTGTAAAATATTTGCAGCGGCTTTGACTTATCTTTACCTCTAAGTAAGTTGCATTCAGTGGCACATCACAAAACCACTTTCTTAATGTAGAATTCGTGCAAGAACATGGCACCTGTTCTGAATTTTCTTTATTCTCATTCATTATCCAATCTGTGTAATTGTGTTGGCCACAACACTGCAACTAGGAAAAATATTTTTATGAATTTTACGATAAAATATTCAAAATGCAGGTAATTATATAATGCTCATGCACATTAAAGTGTTTTCATGATAAATTTATTCTCCGTTAAAATGTAGTGAATTAGGTAAATAAGTACACGTTTGTTTAATCTATTATATTGTTGCTGGTACTGTTGATGTCAACAAGAGGTAAAGATCTCTACTTGATAAGTGGACTATGTTTGGCTGAAATTGTTATATCTGAATTTATTTATAGGAGCCCAGAATGAAAGGTATGCTTGATTTACCAAATCTACAACCATGTTTCGGGCCAGAACATAGAAGAAAGAATCCTCTTCTTAACTATAGAAATTATCTTTCTATATATTTATCCCCACTATGCTGCCATATATGTTTAGGATACATAAAGAGGGTTAATCTACTTTCTTTAGGATTAATGTGAGATGTTAACTTTCAATTTTGTATTGTGTGAAAAACTGCAACAAAGAACCAAAAAGGTGATAAGGAAGATAGTCACAGAGATGATCAAACATCTAATAAATGTCTCATTTCCTATTCTATTGAGCTGGGAGGATGTGAAAAAAATCAGTTTATATATTTGACATCTAGAAAACAAGAGAAGGTTAAAGTGAATATTTCATTGTTTTTCTAAACTTGTTATTGAAAGTTATAACATCAGTATTGTCTATGTATAATATGTACCAACAATTTTGACAAGAACTTGGGAATCTTGAATGACTCTAATAGTGCTTTAGAGCTTGGATATTAAAAGTTAGTTAAATCAATCAAACCTACATATAAGATATCAATTATATTCATGGTTAGGAACTTTAAGTTGGATTCTCATTAATGATAGTAATGTCATACATAGACTTGTTTTACCATTTATCAGTTTATGACCATAAAAAAAAAAAGGTTGTAATGCAATCTGGAAATGGAATACCGCTACAATTCACATACATCAGAAAAAAAAAAACATATGCAGAATAAAACATTTATAATTACATTTCAATTCTCCTAAAATGCATTTTGTTTAGTAAAGGTACCAAAAATAATGAACTATTTCTATGTGTGGCATCTAAAGTGGCAGTTAAGAATACAAAATCTAGTGCTAGATTGTCTGGGACTGGATGTTGGCTCTGCCACTTATTAACTGGGTGACACTGGCTTGGTTACTGAATCTCTCTGTCCTCCATCTATAAAATGAGAATGATAGTTTGACCACACTGGTTGAGAGGATAAAGTGAGTTAATACATGCAAAGCACTTACAAAAGGAACTGGTACTATGTAAATGTTTCAGGTGCTGATCTCTTCCTGTACGTTATTTGGCTGACCGTACCAATTCCCTTCACTGCCCAGAAATAGCTGAACTGTTCAATAATAACCCTAACAACATTAGCTAATAAATATTAGCTGCCTGCTATGTTCCAGATCTAAGGCTTTCTAAATAGTCTCTATATTACTTCATTTATTCCTGCCAACTAGGGGTAGGAGTTATTCTGCCCATTTTACTAATATGAAATGTGAAGTTAAGAAAATTACTTGCCCAGGATCACACACAAAGCTACTGTGTGGTAATCCAAACATGCAGGCTCAAATGGGAGCCGTCATGCTACTTTGCTGCCAGCTCGGACTGTGCTCACACTTACCTCCCAAGGTTGCAGGAGGACTGATGACCCTACTTGGCAAAGACCACCAACACTTTCCTAGGGAAACCAGGTTAAAATGCACATCACTTAACCCAGAAAAGGAGCTGTAAGTTACAAAAGGAAGAGACAACTAAGATCTGTAAGTGGAGACAACGCGATTATACCCTATTTGTTTTGGAAGAAATAAAAGAATGTCTCCTTTCTCTGTCCCTATCCTCTACCCTTCCCTCTATTCCTCTCTATCCTACAATGATCACCTCTGACATCTAATTTTTAGTTGTATGCTAATTTTGTCTTACTGTTTTTTGTAAAGCATTCAGAATAGTCCACTTAAGTATGTCTTCAGGCACATCTTTAGATCCATACTGAGAAATGATTAAATCAATTTCATCATGCCATACTTGGTGAACCTGTTGAAAATTGTATAAAAAGTGAAATTTTGATAGGAACTTTCCTCATGTCTCTTCATAAAAGGGTATTCAAAGTTACCTTTCGAAAAAACAAAAGGTAATAGTTACCTTATGTCTAAAAGCTTTTTTCTTCCTTATACCTATTTTTAACAATCTCAGTGGTTCATGACTTTCATAACTAATTTGGTCCTCAAAAATGCCAAAACTTAGAAAGAACAGATACTATTCCCATTTTGTAAACAAGAAGACAGATACTTAGAGAATTTAATTATTTGCTTTGTTTACATGAATAAGGAAGAGGAGCTGAGACATCTATATATGTTTATTTAAATTCCAGTCTAGTGACATTTCCTTATATTTTGCTGTCTTTGAATAATCAAAATTAAATAACTGGTGAGAATACTATATAATAAAGAGGTAATTTGAAAATTAACCGACAAGCCCTCACACAAGATGGCCACCCCCATGTGTTCACAAGATGGTCACCACAGATGGCCGGCAGGGGAGGGCAGTTGCGGGGGACCAGGCCAGCAGAGGAGGACAGTTGGGGGGGACCAGGCTGGCAGAGGAGGGAAGTTGGGGGTGACCGGGCCTGCTGGGGAGGGCAGTCGGGGGAGACCGGGCCAGTAGGTGAGGGCAGTTGGGAGCAACCAGGCTTGTAGGGGAGGGCAGTTGGTGGGGACCAGGGCTTCAGGGGAGCTGTTAGGCATCGATCAGGCTGGCAGGGGAGTGGTTAGGGGGTGATCAGGCTGGCAGGCAGAAGCAGTTAGGGGCAATCAGGCAGGCAGGCAGGTGAGCGGTTGAGTGGTTGGGAGCCAGGAGTCCTGGATTGTGAGAGAGATGTCTGTCTGCCAATTTAGGCCCGATCCCTATGGGATCCCTATGGGATCGGGCCTAAACTGGCAGTCAGACATCCCCTGAGAGGTCTCAGATTAGAGAGGATGCAGGCTGGGCTGAGGGCCTCTAGTACTATAGTAATTAAAACATCTGTACAAGTTAAACACTTATGCAGTTACTTATATATCTATGCTTTAATATATGTAAGAAGATTAGAATAACATAAAATGTTACTTAGAGCTATATGTTATCTAACTTATTCTCTAAGTTAATTTTTATTGAGAATAGAAAATGATGTTTTCCATTCTATAGTGTTGCCAGGAGAGGACAGATTCATGTTCTCATTTACACTCTAAGCATTATTTGGGAGATCCAAAGTACTTATGAATTATACCTTTGTACATAAGAGTAAAGTGAATTTCCTAAATAATCTGTGTGACTACTATATAAATAAAATTCCCTCACACATATTTAATTTGACATATATACTGTGAAGCCCTAGTACATCTCCAACACTGAATTAGGCATTGTGAATAGCATAAGAGATTTAGAGGCTTCTAAAAGCTTAATTGACTTTGAATGTAAAAGACAAATCAATGTAAACAAAGCTGTTCTTCTCTGGGATGAGTTAATAGGGGTTCTAGTCCCGGCTGTCATTTGGCCACAATATATTTAAGCAAGTATTTCTCCTCTCAGAGCCTCAGTTTCCTGTACTAGAAAGCAGGACTAACAGTGCACCTCTACGAGGATCAATAATATAATGCCTAGAACATGCTTATCACAGTCTCTGGCTCATGGTAGTTCTTATTAAACTAGAGGTCTGGTGCACAAAATTCGTGTACAGGTAGGGTCCCTAGGCCTGGCTGGCAATCAGGGCAGATGGGGGCCTTCCAGCTCCAGCCGGGACCTCCCTCCATTTCGCACCACCCCCTGGTGGTCAGCTCATGTCATAGTGAACGATCGAACTCCCGGTCTCCCAGTGGAACTCCCAAGGGGACACTTTGCATATTAGCCTTTTATATATATAGATATTTATTATTCTTAAAGTAGATAGAGAAAAGTATGTAAATAATACTTAAGTAAATATCGATGACAGTGATACACTATATTTATGTGTTAAGGTTTAAGTATTATATTCAGGTTTTATCACTAGTTAGAAGCTTATGGGTTGGAAACATGCTTTTTCACCAAAGCAGCTTTACAGAACTTACCTGCTGTATATACACACACACACACACACATTTTGGATATAGAGAGAAGAAACTTTAGTTACAAATGCCAGGCCATTAACAACAGGTCCTGAGTGGTTAGATACGCAGGGTAGATGCTAAGTATAAGATAGAATAAAGGTGGAGAGCAGTGGTATTTT